TCAGAGACCTTATCTGGCTTGGAGAACTGACAGGTCGATATCTGCAAAACTTGGCAAGGAGTCGCGGAGAGTCGCAAACCAATTAAGCAAACTAATTGTCCTCCTGCAAACTCCACTCCCCTGTTGCTTCTCTTCTATTTCCTCTGGGAGGGGCCTTTCATCGTCCACCTGTGGCCTTACTCCCAAGTCGACCCCTGTTCTTTAGCTGTTCCCTTCATCTGGCAATTCTGCATATGCTGACATTGGGAACAGGCTCCAGCTGTTCGTCTGCCTTCCTGATGTCTGACTCTGAAGACAGCTGATAACTGGCATATGGCTCTGGCCCCCTCTGTGCCTCTGACACAGAGCCCTCATCAGAGCCTTCCCCAGATCCAGGACTGTCCTACGTTCCTCTCCAACTACCTCACTGTCTGCGTTCAAAGTTACTGTTGTGGCCCACCAACAGAGCTGGCAGCATTCGTGACTCTCCAAGGCTCCTTGCCAAGTTTTGCAGAGATCGGCCTGGCAGCTCTCCCAGCCAGATAAGGTCTGTGCCTATAAATCCTCCCTTGAAAGACTTTGCTGGATGTGAATGATCAGAATTCACAGTCAATTAATAAAAGGGTTTTTTGTCAGGACCAGGAGTTTGTTTCATGCTCTTGGGAAGCCTCAGTCAGAACACTATGTTTAATAAGGGAGCATCTTTCCTGTTAAATATATCAGTGTTGCACGAATGCATTGCTTATATTCAGCTATTCGTGTGGAGTCCCTGATATTCTGTGAGATTGGTTAGTTGCTGATGATGCTACCCTGTAGATAGTCCCTGACTTACAACCGTTTCATTTAGTGACCGTTCAAACACCTGAAAAAGGTGCCATTTTTCATATGACCATTTTTCACACTTGTGACCCTCGCATGGTCTCCTGATCAAAATTCAGATGCTTGGCAACTGACTCATATTTATGACGGTTGCAATGTCCCTGGGGTGTGTGCGTGTGTCACCTTTTTGTGACCTTTTGACAAGCAATGTCAAGGAGGAAGCCATATTCACTTTACAGCCATGTTGCTAACTAAACAACTGCAGTGATTCAATCAACAACTGCGGTAAGAAAAATGGTAAAGGGAGGCAAAGCTCACTTAACAATTGTCTCACTTCGCAACATTAACTTTGGGCTCAATTGTCGTAAATCGAGGAGTGGTTTTAGTTAGATCATGAAACATCTGCAGGCAAACAGCTGTGAGAGCACCAAGGAGCCTACAGTTCGACCCGAGCTACAGGGATTCTTTTCTACTGCGACAATATACAATACAATAGCAGAGTTGGAAGGGACCTTGGAGGTCTTCTAGTCCAACCCTAGGCAGGAAACCCTATACCGTTTCAGACAAATGGCTATCCAACGTCTTCCTAAAGACTTCCAGTGTTGGGGCATTCACAACTTCTGGACGCAACTTCTGTTCCACTGGTTAATTGTTATAACTGTCAGGAAATTTCTCCTCAGTTCTAAGTTGCTTCTCTCCTTGATTAGTTTCCACCCATTGCTTCTTGTTCTGCCCTCAGGTGCCTTGGAGNCTCCAGTCCCCTAATCATCTTTGTTGCTCTTCTCTGCACTCTTTCTAGAGTCTCCACATCTTTTTTTTTACATTGTGGCGACCAAATCTCACAGTTACTACTATGGAGCTAGGTACCACCTATACTATACCCGTGCATTTGGGTTTTCTTGCCTAAATGCCTGCATTCTCTTCTGTATATAAGTAGTTCTCTACTTACAACACAATTGGAACCAGAATTTCTGCTGCTAAGCAAGATAGTTGTTAAGTGAGCCGTGCCCGATTTTGCAATCTGTTTGGCTGTGATTGCTAAGGAGTTAACTGCAGCTGTTAAGCGACTCATGCGGTGGTTAAGCAAATCTATTCCCCACCACCACCACCACCAGTGAACTTCGGTTGTCGGACTCTGGCCTGGAAGGTTAGAAATAGTGAACCCAGAGGCTGCAACTGTCATAAATTCATGCCAGTTGCCAAGAGCCTGAATTTTGATAACACTTCTTTATGGGGATGCTGCAGGAGTTGTAAGTGTGAAGACCAATTATAAGTCACTTTTTTCTGTGCTGTTGTAATTTCCAATAGTCACTAAGTGAATGGCTGTAAGTCGTCGACTACCAGGAATACTAATTAATATATCTTTTTGTAAGGATAAGATTACAGGTGGTCCTCAACTTACAGCAGTTCATTGAGTGACCGTTCAAAGTTACAGCGGCACTAAAAATGTGACTTAGGGCCATTTTTCAGTTACGACCTTCATGGCATCCCCATGATGTGTGATCAAAATTCAGACACATGGCTACCGGTTCTTATTTATGACCGTTGCTGTGTGCCCAAGACCATGTGATCCCCTTTTGCAACCTTCTGGCAAGCAAAGTCAATGAGGAAGCCCGATTCATTTAACAACCCAGGTGACTAACTTATCAACTGCAGTGATTCGTTTAACAACCGGGGCAAGCAAAGTGGTAAAATGGAGCAAAACTCACTTAGCTTAATTAACCATGGAAATTTTGGGCTCCATTATGGTCGTAAAGTCGAGGACTACCTGTACCTTGTGAGGGGTCCTTGGTGCTCTCTGAGTTTCCGTTTTCTTGCAGAGGTTTCACCAGCACTGATGATGTTACCTACCTGGGTAATGAAACGTCTGCAAGATTCTTAGGGAGCACCATGGATCCCTCATGCTACAAATATTCTCCTTCATTAATAAGATTACTGTAGTTTTGCAGTGCTGTTAGCGGCCTGTGTTTTCCTGGCGCTCATCCAATGGAAACGTCCCAAAGTCTTCGCTTGAGGCTGGCTTCTCTAAGAGAAGCTTTTGGAAGAACACAGAAATAAATGCAGTAGCACATTGCAGTAAAATCAGCATGTCTCAAGCTTTTCTGTGCGAATTCTCCCCCCCCCCTTTTTTTGTCTAGTGCAAGCAGAATCACGAAGTATAAAATGACGTCTAAGGATTCTGTCTGCGCTAGCAAAAAACCCGCCAGAAAACCAGATTCTGCACGCACAAGGCAACTCGTACCAATTTTACAGCATTTGCGGGGTGGGGTGGGGTGGGTTCCCAAAGAAGCCAACTCTTTCTGGTAAGCTACCTTGTTTCCTCAAAAATAAGACTTCCCCAGATAATAAGCCCAATCAGGCTTTTGAGCCCATGCACTAAAATAAGCCCTCCCCTGAAAATAAGCCCTCCCTGAAAATATTGCAACGCAGCAGCAACCATGGGCTGACCACGCTTGCTGCCTCCTGCACCTCAATAATAATAATAATAAGACCTCCCGAAAATAAGGCCAAGTGCTTATTTTGGGAGTCAAAAGAAAATAAGGCCCTGTCTTGTTTTCGGGGAAACACGATATATGAAAGGCTGAGCGCCAAAGAATGGAGGCCTTTGAAGTCTTCTTCTGGAGAAGACTCCTGCGAATCCCTCGTACTGCAAGATGATCAAACTGGTCAGTCCTAGAGGAGATCAACCCTGACTGCTCTTTAGAAGGCCAGATCCTGAAGATGAAGCTCAAGTACTTTGGCCAACTAATGAGAAGGAAGGACTCCCTTGAGAAGAGCCCAATGCTGGGAATAATGGAGGGCAGAAAAAGGAGGGGACGACAGAGAATGAGTTGGCTGGATGGAGTCATCGAAGCAGTAGGCCTGAGCTTAAATGGGCTCCAGAGGATGGTAGAGGACCGGAAGGCCTGGAGGAACGTTGTCCATGGGGTTGCGATGGGTCAGACACGACTTCGCAACAAACAACAATATGTGAGCATCTGTGCCATTATCTTGGCAAAAGTACGAAGTGCTTTTGCTGTGATTTTATATTCCTGGTTGATATTTTTTTTAACTTCTGTTGGAAGACATATCCATCTGGATCCCGTTCCAAGTGGGGAGAAAGACACTGGAAATATGGGAGGCTGATTGGAAAGATAGTTTATTGAGGGACAGGACGACACGGGTTTGAAGTCCTGGGCAGCTGAGCACATGGAAGAGAGAGAGAGAGAGGTATTTATACCCTCTCTTGGACCTTGCCCTTGAGCTTCCTGTTCCTTTGGAAAGGGCATGTATTCTATTGGTTGCTGTCAGATTCCCATGCAGAGGTTATGCAGAGGTCATAGGTTGTCTGAGCTCCCAGGTTTGGTTGAAACTTGGAGGGTGATGTAATGTTCCCAGGTGATGTGCTGATAGATATTCCTATTATGTCCTGGAGGGTCATGTCTTAATCCCATCACCCTGGAACTGAAGGCATAATTGTCTTGTAGATAGGCTGGGCCAGTGTTGCTCAATGGGCACCAAATACCTGCAGGGAGCTGCTCTTTTCTCATCCAGGGAAATATAATATTCTGCCTTTTTAGTATTTCCTAGAATATTTCATTCGTCTAGGAGAGGGGTAGGTGCTAACTTTCTACACTTCCCAGTTTAGCCTAAAGCTACAGGTGTCTTCCATTCAAGAATGAACTGGGGTTCAACTCTATTTAGTCTTTTAAAATCAAAGTTGGCTTGATGCTGCCTCCTGAGCGCAGGCCAGCGGAACAAGTAGCAGACTCAGACAGTGATGAGGTTGGGGAGGAAACTGGGCCAGTCCTGGAGTCTGGGGAAGGCTCTGACGAGGGCTGTGCATCGGAGGCAGAGAGGGGGCCAGGGCCATATGCCAGTTATCAGCTGCCTTCTGAGTCAGACATTAGGCAGACGAACAGCTGGAGCCTGTTCCCAGTGTGTGCATGCGCAGAGTTGCCAGACGGAGGGAACAGCTAAAGAACGGGTCAACTTGGGAGTATCCACAGGTGAATGATAAATGGCCCCTCCCAGAGGAAATAAAAGAGGAGCGAAAGGGGAGNAGAAATACAGTAGGTAGGTAGGGAGAGAGAGACAGTAATTAGGTAGATAAAGGGATAGAGAGGGAGAGAGAAATAGAGATAGAGAAATACAGTAGAGAAGGAGGGAGAGAGTGTGTAGGTAAGTAGGTAGAGGGATAGAGAGAAATACATACATACATACACACATACATACATACACACATATATACATACAGTAGATAAGTAGGGGGAGAGAGAGTAGGTAGGTTGGTGGGTAGAGGGATAGAGAGAAATAGAGAGAAATGCATTAGATAGGTAGGGAGGGAGAGAGGATAGGTAGGTTGGTAAAGGGATAGAGAGAGAGAAATAGAGAGAGAGAGAGAAATGCAGTAGATAGGTAGGGAAAGAGAGAGTCGGTAGATAGATGTTTCCAGGTGTATTTATCTATGTGCTGGAGAAGGAAATCACTGACAATCTGCAGAACCTAAGACTTTGTTTCCGCTGGCACAGCACTTGAGCAATGTAATTCTCATCAATCAGTTAAAGAGCTTTCCAAAAGGAAACAAAATGTTTTTGCATTCTGCCGGACGCAAGGAAGCAAGCGCAAGGGAGGTCCAGGGCTGCAGTAGGAAGACCTTGACTGTCACATAGATAGTCCTTGACTTACAACACTTTCTTCACTTACAGTTCAGAGTCACAATGGCCTGAAAAAAGTGATGTGGCCCTTTCCCACTCTTAGGATGATTGCAGCATCCCCAAGGTCATGTGATCAGAGTCCAACCTTGGCTGGTTCATACTTCATGACGGTTGCAGTGTCCTGGGGGTCACGTGATCCCTTTTTGCAACCTTTTGATCAGCAAATTCAATGGGGAAGCCTGATTCACTTAACAGCTGCATTACTAGCTTAACGGCTGCAGTAATTCACTTAACAGCTGTGGCCAGAAAGGTGGTAAAATGGGGAAAAAGTCACTTAACAAATGTCTAATTTAACAACATAAATTTTGGGCTCAATTGTGGTCACAAGTCAAGGACGCCATGTACTTCTCTGCAGAAGAGCAACTCATCTAGCTGGGTTACAGGTTGGGAGTCTCTGAAGGGAGGTTGGTGAGCATTGGAAGAGTCTTAACTCCTTCACGGTGCCTGATGCCAACAAGACCCAGATCTACCCTTTGCCGGTTGGCTTTTCCTTCTCTCTGGGGGCCCCTCCCTCACCTTCCTGCTGCCTTTCTCTCCACAGCCAGGGGGACGGACACTCCTTCCCCATCCGAGCCCAGAGCGAAGCCCGGAACCCCCTGCTGGCAAACGAGGAGCAATGGGAGGAAGACGGGATGGAAGATGGCAGCCAGCACAGTAAGGGCACACTAGCCTTTGAGGGGGTGCCGCGTGGGATGTAGGATGAGCCGTTGGTGCAGAGAGAAGGGGGGGGGTGGCTGTCGTCGGGAAGGAACTCTGGGACAAAGTGGAGAATTGAACAAACGGATGCAAATACTGCAAAACGCCATTGTGTGGACCTCAAGGCGGCAGACTTTGGAGGCAATGGGTGGAATTCTCTGTTTACATCTTTATATGTTGTTTGCGTAATGTTGCTGCAGATGTTGTCCTTTCTGATTTAGCTATCAAAAATAGAGGATATTCCTCCTTTGGGTCCATTAAGTTAACATTTCTCCGTTCCACTGTTCCTGCTAGCTGTGGAATTCTGGGAATTGAAATCCACACTGTCAGTCCTGCCACAACTTGGTCCCTTAAGCAAGAATGACCCTCAACTCCATTTGGTGTGAAAGGTTCACTAAAGGCCAAGTGGATCATAATACAGCAAAGCCAGAACTGAGGTTCGCCTGCCAAACTTTCCCAGTTAACTTTTCCCTGTTTGTCCCTTCCCATTGTTAATCCCTCCTTGTCCAATCATAGATAAGATGTTTTGGGAAAGGTCTCTTCAACTGTAGAATAGGAAGCGCGGAGGTACATGCCTTTCCCAGCTCTCTGACCTTGAGGTTGTATCTTTTGGTACAGTGAATCATTAGCTTTCCCCACTTCCCATCCAGTTGCCTCCCCCCATAGTTCTGGGCAGACTGGCAGCTAGCAAACGTGAAGCACAGTTGGAAGATGGCAGTTCTGACACTCACACGTCTTAAAGTTGCTAAGGTTGACAAACACTGCTCTGTACATTGAAAAAAAAGAGAGAGAAAAAATGGGCATCAGACATCCAAACATGATTGGGGGGATGGGGTGGGGTGGAAGGGGAGGAAGAGTCCTTATGCCAGTTGTCCTTATGCATCAGAAACAGGGTGCCCACCTTACAGCCCCTTCCTCATCCTTGAAGCAGATTGAGATTACCCTTCCCATTGCATTCTTGACCATTTCCATTTCAAGTAGTTTTCAAGGGTAGCCCCACATAGGGCACTTTGCAGCCATCGAGCCTTGAGTTGACTTCCTGCAGTTATTCATTTAGTTTTCATTTGATATAGATACAAGTTGAGTCTTCTGTGGACATACATACATACATGGCACATACTTTGCAAACCGCAATAGTCCCCCCTCCCACTCCCAATGGGTGGGTTTCCCCATGCTGTTCTTCTTGCCAAGGCTTCTGCATGCGTGCCCAGTGGTCCCAGTGCAGGGTCCCTTCTTCCTTTTACATTTTGCTTACAAAACAGAGTTTTGTGAGATGAAGAGGGCTGCAATCAGTTATTTTAAAAAATTACTCCTGTTCTCCCCATCCAACTGAAGGCCACTCTATTTACCAATCAAGCCCTATTCAACAGGGGACTGGAGAGGCTGCCATCAAGATCAGATTGATTGCAGGATTGGGGAACAGCTTGTTTTCCTGCTTGGGGTGGGGGAGTAGGGTGGGGTGGGGTGTTAATGGCCCAGCACAGAAGCCTGGCTGAAAGGGGAGCAAGCTATAGATCACAAGTGCATCTTTGGCAAAGCTTAAGAAAGGCAGGATAAGTGTGTACGTGCCCATCCTTACCCAGAGATGTATACAAATGCAGACTCTGGAAGTCGTAAACCTTCCAAACAATTTTTGTGCTTTTGAATGGTTTAAAAGAGAACCGTTATTAAACACAGAATTGGGAAGTAATGACAGTAAGTGTACCAAATTCTAGCTGCATGCGAAGGACATGCAGTCTTCCTATGACTTGGTAGAGGGGGGGGGGTCTCCAGCAGACCATTCCAAGCCAAATAGACCCCCACCCCACTCCAGCCTAGAAAAATTGGGCTCCACAACTACTGGGAACACAACTCTGAAGGAAGAGCAATCTCTGTCTTACTGAGTGGACTTGTGTTGCTTGTTTGTCCAGATTACCAGCAAGGGACTTCCCTTTCCATTGAAATGGAGACATAGCAGCTTTGAAGAGCTGAGGTTGTGCAACTCATGAGCTCTGGTAAGTGATTTTTTCTTTAGATTAAGAAAAAAAAGCTTAGAACTCCTTTTTCAGTTAATTGTTTTTCCCCATAAGATATCGATCTGGATGTCTTGCCTCCAGAGGTCATGAGTGTTCCTTCGCTCGAGGTTTTCAAGAAAAAAACCATTTATTTGGAATGGTCTAGAGTTGGACTAGAAGACCTTCAAGGGTCCCTTCCAACAATATTATTCTGTGTTCTACAATCTTGGCTGTGGTAGAATATTCCCCCAGCACAGGAGTTGCAAATTCCTATGATTCTCCTGTGAGAAATACGGTTTGCCCAAATCTATTAACTCTCTCCTGGCAAGGAAAAGCAGCCAATAGGGCCCCTGATGCCATCTCCTTGCACAAGAGTTAGAATAACAGAGTTAGAAGACACCTTGGAGGTCTTCTAGTCCAACCCCCTACTCAACCAAGAAACCCTACACCATTCCAGACAAGTGGCTGTCCAGTTGTTATACACCTCACTTTGAAGTAGCTTCCCCCCAGCCTAGCATCTTCCAAATCAGCTGGACTACACCACCTGCTTCTCAGGAATAGCAATACCACTTAGATTTATATAGCACTTCACAGTGCTTTTACAGCCCTCTCTAAGTGGTTTAGAGAGTCAACCTCTGGCACCCCAACAATCTGGGTCCTCATTTTACCCACCTCAGAAGGAAGGAAGGCTGAATCAACCTTGAGCCCCATCAGGATAAAACTCCTGGCTGTCGGCAGAGTTAGCCTGCAATACTGCATTCTAATCACTGCGCCACCCCAGCTTAGTAGGAAGAAAAGGGGAAGGGAATGAGGAAGGAAGGAAGGAGGTAGGGAAAGGCAGGGAAGGGAGCAATAGCACTTAGATTTATATACTGCTTCATAGTGCTTTTACAGCCCTCTCTTAAGCAGTTTACAGAGTCAGCCTACTGCCCCTAATAATCCAGTTCCTCATTTTACCGACCTCAGAAGGACGGAAGGCTGAGTCAACCTTGAGCCTGGTGAGGATCAAATTCCTTGGAGTGAGCAGTGAGTTAGCCTTGCAGAACTGCATTCTAACCACTGTGCCACCCAAAGTTGCTGGTGGGTATCAGGTTGGGAAGCACTGAACTGGAGCTCAGTATTAGTAATGAGCCACAAAGTGCTGACAGGTTTGGGGCAAGAGCGCCAGCTCCAGGGGAGGTCAAAGTCTCATCTTTTGGAGCTTGCCTAGAATCAGGGCTGGGTTGGCCCCGATTCAGATTTGATTCATCCAGGGGTGTCTTTGGCCCAGATGTTCTTACACGGCCATGCCCACCTGACACACACATACCCAAAATGGAAAGTGTGAGCTTTTCTTATGCTGCCTTGTGGTCTTGTGGAGATGGCTGGATAGACGTTTATCAAGTAGAAGAGGCAGATTTTGTCTTTCAGAAGAAGTTGACCAACTGCTTACAAATGATTGTTATATGGAAGACCCAGGAGGCTTTTCCGGTAACTCTTTCAGCACAAGCCATTTGCCTGCAGGAAACCCACCGTCAACTGATGGTGCCACCCTGCGCCACTTTTGCTGACGGATGAGTCTGCTCTTGAGCAGGACCTCTCTTGATGCCACAGATATCTTTACACAAAACCAACCGTAGAGCTGAGCAGCATTTTTCTAAATCTCCTTGATTAGTCTAAACAACGGAAGCTCAATATTTCTGGGGATTCTCCGTGATCCAGGTCATGATTGTCTCAAAGGTGCTTTTTCAAGAGGCAACTGGGCTTTCTGGTTTTTCTTTGATGTTTCTCTTCTCATTGAAGAAGCTTCTTCAGCTCTGACTGGATGGTGGGGAATGGAAAGATTTATACTCCTTGCAGATAGCTGGTCATTTGCATTACTTTGAAAGAATTTTTATGATCAAAATTTGGGTGACAACCAGCATCTACTTACAGGAAGCGGGACTCGCCTAATGAGCACACAATTCACTGAATAATCATGGCAGAAAAGGTTGGTAAATCGGGCGGGACCCACTTAACAATCACCTTGCTTAGCAATGGAAATTCTGGTCCCAGTTGTGGTCGTAAGTTGAGGACTACCTGTATTGTGCTCCTTAGGTTTGGAAGGGGCAGTCAAAGAGCTGGGCAAAGGAAGGGAACCTGGGGTTGTGTCATTTCTTTTTAAACTCAGAGTTACAGCAAACAGGAGGAGGGCGGGGGGGGAGAGAAATCGTTCCTTTGGAAAGCAGCATTCCAGGTCCAACCCAAACCGATTGGCCCTTTCCTTTCATCAGCAGCTACTGATGAATAGTTTTCATCCCGGAAAACGCTGCCTTCTGCCCCCTCCACATACCCGCTCTGATCTCAATCATTATCAGCACATCTGCAGCTGCGGTTTCCTTTTTATTTCAACGTGCACATTAAATGCAGGGCTGCCTAATGTCACTAAGGAGTTTGGTCCTTAGGAGCAGAACAGAAATTCTTGATTAGGCTCCTTCTTATTCCTTTCTTTTCCCGCAACCCACTTCACTTCCCGTTTCCTCCCTGTCTCATTAGCTTCCTCTGGTGATGGAGACTTCGGGGGCATAAAAAGAAAAAAAAAAGCGCTTGGATCAGAAAACGAAAAGCAACATTGGAGGCTAATTCTCGTTTTCCGAAAGGCTTCTTGAGCAGACTGTCCTTGGTGACACTTCCAAGGTTTGCTACACATTACGGATTTTTTTTAAAACATGGCATCTGAAGTGATTCATGACCTTCTCTTTTTGTATGCCTTCCCCAGAAGAAGGGAAAACTGCTTAGTGCAAAAGCATTTCCAAGTGCCTTAAGGGGCATTTTGCTAGCAGCCTGGACTTCGTGTTGTCTCGTTTTGCCAAATAGGAAGAAGAGCTGTGTAAAAGGGTTTAGACGGACGGTTAAGCAGACGACTGAATGCAGGAATCATGGCTGCCAAACCAAGTGTTGCTGCTAGAGAACGAGGTGAATACTCACTGCTTCTGTGGCCCTAGCAAACCTCCAACACCCTTGGGCCCTAAATGTCCTCATCATTAACTCTGATTTTGCTAGAAAAAAATCCGGCTCTTTTGAGTTCGCCTTTTTGATGTAAGCACAATCCTCGTTGTAGGTGCCTACAATTGTCTGAAATTCATTCCGAACAGCTTCAGCTCCGGGACTAGTTTCTGCTATGAAAAATAATAATTTTAAATGGAATTGCACAACAGTGACCCTGTATCAGACTGTCCACGGAGGCTCATGTGGCTATGGGCATCTTTAGACAGAGCCCGCCAGGGAAGGAAAGCCCGGCCCCTGGTTTTGCACGAAGGGGAGCCTTGCTTGGAGCCAGGCCAGCCTCACTTCATGGACTTTTAAACCCTTTGCATAATCTGATCAGGAATAAGATTGGTGTCTCTCTGTCATTCCTTTGTTTCCAAATACTAAAAGAAAATCATGGATAGAGAAGTCCAAAAGGCTGGCCTTCCCCCTGCCCCTTTAGCTTGAGTGCTGGGTGACTTGATCTCAAATGTTGGTGTTGCAAGAAGAGGTTTTGATCCAAGTGGAATTCCCACCCTCCAAAAGATTTTTTTTTCATGCTTTTCAGTGACTATACAGAAATAGGTTCTTATCTTCCCTCTTTAGAACTTTGGAGAAGAAAACAGCCGAGCACCATAATGGGAGGTCATTGGAAGGAGGTTGTAGACGTCAACCCTTTTGCACAATCAACAGGATGGGGGGATGGGCTGGTGGTGCAGCTTCAGGGGCTGGAGCTAAACTAACTTCTCCCAGTGCCAAGATGGCATCACCAAACCAGGCAACTGCATCTCTCTGCTTATGCTCTGTTTGGCCTCCCCACCCACACCCTGCAGCCACACAAGGAGATGAAAGAGAAAGCAATAGTTGAGCTCTCTCAATATAAGCCCATTCCAGTACTGCCTGGCATAGTACCCCCATCCCACAGGGGCCATAGTTTTTTTTAAGAAGGCTTTTTAAAAATCCTGGAGTTGGAAAAGGCAGTCTACCATGTTTATAGTGGCTAAGATGCCCTCAAAGTTTTGGCCAGGACCTCTGTGGCTTTGTTAGTGGTGCATCTTTGGGGTTTTTGGACATGCTCGTGCTAAGAAGTAACCCAATTTCATAGCTGGCTGGGCCTCCTTTGTGCAGCTGTACCCTTTGTTGATTCTCTAGGTTAGACCTTCCAAGATTCGCCCTCCAGAATTGTCTAGGCTGTAAAAAAAAAACCTTAATGCGCTAATTTTTCTCAGTGTAGAAAGGTGCCAGTCAGAGAAACTGAAGCAGACACAAATCTTAGGGCAAATATTGAAGCTTTACTAATTTCAATAGAAGTAGTTTAAACATTTTTTTTCTGCTGATTATATTAGTCCTTTGAATGCTATACATTTTAAGCAAAATAGACATTTGCGTGGGTCCATGTTTAACGCTGATAGTTCAACTTCATAACGGTGCTGTCAATCAATTGCAATGTGTTTCCCTTTCTTAAAGGACTCTTTTCTTCTTCACATCGATCAGAGCAATTAAACGCTAACATTTAATTAACAAATTAACAAATGCATCTCCACTCTTACATGTCAAAAATATAATCTACTAAAACACTAGAACATGTATTTGGGGGGGACTAAGTTTTAATGGTGTGTCTCCAACCTCATGGAACTACGTGAGAAAAGCATCTCAGCTGCTTCTAAACACTCCCAGGTCCACTCAGAAGAGGCGAAAAGCTTGTCTGGCTTTGTTCATCTCTTACTAAAAGTGGGGTCCAGAATTTGGGAATCTAGCAAGCTGGGTAAAGTGTGCCTTGGAAAATCTCCAAAACCAGGTCTGATCAGCAGGAGTCTTTTGGGGTCTTGAAGGAATGGCCTGGTCAACGGCCCTCCCAATTTCAGGCACTTCTTCATGCCCCGAATTTCCAGCTGTTTTTAGACATTCTTGAATTAGGGACACCAACGGCAGAGGGAAAACCCTGGCACTTCTGGGCCTTGGCATTAGTCCCAAATAAACAATTGGCTAGCAGCAGCTATAGTTGTAGCCCAGTGTTGCTCAACCTTGCTGATTTTTTTAGGTGGGTGGATTTCAACTCCCAGAAGTTCCCTACTGAGTGTGCTGGCTAGGGTATTCTGGAAATGGAAGCCCACAAATCTTAAAAGTCAGCAAGGTTGAGAAACACCATTATAAGCCTTTATCAAGGCAAGGAACAGCTCAAGCACTCGTCTACTTAACAGCTGTGTCAAAAAACAGCCGCCAGGGAAGGTGGGTTCTTTAGCCACCTTGAACTTAAATCATTCCTGATGATTTCCAAAGCTTCCCTAACCTCAGCAGCCTAATTTAAGGATAAAAATCTACTTGGTGTCCTTAAGGCTAAATCATTGGGAGTAAAACAAAAAAACAACCCTTTCTCCAGCTATTATAACTCACCCAATCTGTTCTATGCAGGGAAGCCCTGCAGGAAAAACTCCAGTAGCCCTGCAGACTTCTCCTAGCAGCCTCTCCCAGAGTCCACTCCAGCTGTGAGGCCTCTTCTCTGCCAGCTTCCTTGGGAGCGGGGCAGCTGTTGAGCTTGAAAAGGCACAAGTGGAATACATGCGAATTATATTTCTCCTGTGTGCTGCTTGGGGAATCCAAGCATGGGTTAACTTTGTCCATTAGCCTAGAGACTGAGCTATGCAAATGTTGACCACGCCTCCTCTGACTGGATGGGTCAGTTTTTTAACTCAGTCCAGCCAAAAGAGACGTATTTCCATTTTCTCTAGACTAATCGACAAAATTTACTCTAATTTACTGGATTCTGAGATCGTAGAGGCAGTTTCTTTGATTATTGCAGGACGGAAGACAAAGGCGACAGTTCGCTGTCAGCCAAAACCTTCGGCGTTGGCCATTCGGCTGAGATCAACGGCTATGAGACTTACAGGAGCTTTCGAGTCCTTGTGCTGCAGCTGCTTATTTTGAGCGTGGGATTGGTTCGCCGCTTCCCCTTTATTGCTGATCGCGCACGCGCCCTAAGTCGTTTTGCCGCCCCGCACCGTCTTGCATCGGGAACGGCCGACGTTGCGGCTTTAGCGACGCTGTTTTATCACCGCTATTTTGACGAGCGCGGTTTTGTCGTGCCATGAGCTTCCCCAGCTTTAATTCCATCAGAGATTTCTGAAGGCTTGAAGGCAGAGGACCGCAAGGCCGAGTCAGTCATTCATAAGACCCATCATGCTGCAGCCTTACGTGCTGCTACTGCAGCATCCTTCTTTAATAGGACCTCCTTGGTCTGGCTCAGGCAGTTGCAGAGTAGGCTTGCCCCTGAGGAAATGCACCTTCACCAGGATATTACCAAGTTGATGGCAGCCCTGGAATTTTCTGTGGATGCCATTCTTAATGCAGCAAAATTTGCATCTCGGGCCGTGGTATCCAATGTTGCGTCCCGACGTTTGCTATGGCTTCGCCATTGGCAAGCTGACGTTAAATCTAAGTGGCGCTTTGCTTCCATGCCCTTCAAGGGTGGGGCCTTATTCGGATCTGTCCTGCATCCAATTCTCATTGAAACCAGGGATAAATGTAAGGTTTACTCCCTTACTCCCCAGTGAGCGCACCAACAGGAGACAACAACCTTAAAATAGGTGCCAGTCCTTTCAGGCCGGAGATTCAGGTTTCACTACCGCCCCTTATGTTCCCCACTATAACAGGGCCTTCTCCCAGCCACAGGACCGCGGCCAGGATCGCACGGGAGCCAGGGATAGGGGCTGCCAGAAGAACCATGCACAATCCCAGGCCAGAAGGCCATTTCGTGGGGCTGGCAACCGGTCTTTTCGGAGGTACCAGTGACTCACATGGGGAGGAACCCATCGGCGGGCGTCTCCTGGTCTTCGCCCATCAGTAGGCAGAGACCACGTCCGACACCTGGGCCCTTCAGGTTGTGAGGTTGGGCCTCACTCTAGAATTTCTCTCCATCCCCCCAAGACGATTTATCAAGTGTCCTGTACGCAGGTGCCCGGTGAAAAGGCGTCTCATGGACACCTAAATACAACACCTTATCGCCATCAATGCCATAGAGCAGGTGCCCAAGGGTCAGGAGGGGCTAGGTTTTTACTTCATCTTATTCCTAGTGACCAAGGGCTCAGGGGAATGGCGGGCCATCCTAGATTTGAAAAGGCTCAATCTGTACATCAAGTATCAAAAGTTCAAGATGCAATTCCTCAAAAGCATCTTGGCATCCATCTGCCAGGGCAACATGATGACATCAGTCGACTTCAAGGAGGCGTACCTCCACGTGCCCATCCATCCGGCACATCGGAGGTTTCTACGCTTTCATTTCGCTGGCCGGCACTTTCAATACCGGGCCTTACCCTTAGGCCTGTCATCGGCCCCTTGAACATTTACCAAGCTCCTGGCTGTGGTAGTGGCGTCGCTGCGCTCGGTTCCAATACGAGTGAATTGTTACCTAGACGACATCTTGGTTTTATCTCCATCCTGGAACCAGGCTCTACGGATCTACAGGTAACAATGGACTCACTAAAGAGAAACAGGTTTGTCCTGAACCTTCCCAAGAGTCATCTACAGCCTACCGCGTCGTTGCTCCACCTGGGGACCATCATCAACTCCGTTACGTGTGAAGTGTCCCTATCTTTGGAGAGGCGACAGAGCATCCAGCACCTGGCGAATCAGGTACTATCTCAGAGACTCTTACCACTGGCAATGCTTTCCCAACTACTTGGGAAAATGATTTCCTGTATAAACATTGTTCCCTGGGCCAGGTTCCATGCACGACCACTTCCATGGTTCCTGCTCCCCTTCCAGAGGGCACATACCAGCCATTCCCAGATCAAAGTTCAGCTCCCGCCCAAGCCTTTCAGGTCCCTCTGGTGGTGGACATCCTCCAAACTTCTCAAGGGGTGTCCATTCAAGGAACTGGACTGCATCCAAGTTACAACGGATGCCAGTCTATTCGGATGGGGAGCCCATGACCTGGACCGAGTCGCACAGGGCCGATGGTTGAGTCAAGAGCTGAGAAACAGCATCAATTGGCTGGAGCTCCGTGCCATCCACCTAGCTCTCCTGGAGTTCCAGGATCTAGTGTCACACCACCACGTGCTGTTCCTGACCGACAATGTGCCCTCCAAGACCCATGTCAACCGCCAAGGGGGCACCCATTCTAGGTCCCTGATGCTGGAGGCGGAGAAACTACATCACTGGGCGGAGAACAGACTGTTGTCAATTCGGGCGGAGCACATCTCGGGCGATTCCAACACACAGGCGGACTGGCTGAGCAGGGCCACCATGGATCAAGCGGAGTGGCAACTCCACCCTGACCTCTTCCGGGAGCTCTCTCGTTGGTTCGGCCAACCTGAGGTGGACCTGTTTGCACAACCTCACAACGCACAACTACCGCGATTTTACACCAGGTACCAGACTCCCGGGGTGGAGAGGGTGGATGCTCTACACAGCCCATGGCCGGCCGGCCAGCCTTCTTTACGCGTTCCCACCTCTCCCGATCCTTCCGTCGGTCATTCAAAAGATCCTGATGGAGCAGGCGGAAGTTCTGTTGATGGCTCTGATGTGGTCCCGGCGTCTCTGGTACGCAGACCTCGTACACCTGTCGATCTCATGTCCGTGGAGGATTCCGGATGACCAGATCCAGCCAGGGAGCTCTCATCCACCCGAACCTCACTTGCTGCAGTTAGCCGTGTGGCACGTGAGCGGGCTATTCTAACCGGACTACACTACTCAAGTAAGGTCATTGACGCTATTCAAGTGGCCCGTCGTCCATCTACTACTCATATATACGAGGCCACCTGGCAGGCCTTCTGCAGGTGGTGCCACCACACCGGGGCCGACCCTCTCAAGGCTTCGGTGCCCCAAGTCTTGGACTTCTTA